CACCCCTCGTTAGTGATGAGTATCTTAGTGCTGTTATTATTTACTGTTTATCTTGATGTGATTATTCTTCAGTTTCCAATTGGTTAAAGTCTCTTTCTTCCTTCTTGTTTGAGCTAAGGTACGGAATTGCTGGTGGAAAGCTGTGGTGTTTGCTTTGTAAATGCCTCCAGTAAAGGCCCATGTTTCCCTTAAGCTGACATAAAGTAGCTGCTGCCAGTTCTTTCATACTTCTCATACCCAGTTAATTTTTCTTGCTCAGAAAAAGCTTCAAAGAGTAAAGGCTCTACACTTTCTTATGTAGAAGACAGACTTGGCTGCAGGATCAGAACAGGAGGATTTAGGTGTGACTATGCGGAATATGGAAATAGTCCTTTGGTGGTTGTGATCAGTGGCACAGGGTCATAGCTGGAGGCCTGTCACAAGTGGTGTCCCCAAGGTTCAGTACTGGGCCCAGGATTGTTTGCCTTGTTCATCAGTGACTCGAGTGAAGGGGCAGATGCCTCCTCAGCAAGTTCACTAGTGACACAAAGCTGGGAGGAGTAGCAGACACCATGGACAGCTTCAAAATGGTCTTCAAAAGGGCCTTGAGAGAGATGGAAGAGAAGAACTGGAAGACTGAGAGATGGACAGGAAGCAGTGCCTGAAATTCAACACAGACAATGGCAGAGTCCTGCACCTGGAGAAGAATAACCCCCTGCACCAGTGCAGGCTGGAGGTCAAACCACTGGAAAGCAGCTCTGCAGAGAAGGACCTGTGGGCTCTGGTGGACAACAAGTTGTCCATGAGCCAAGGCAGCCAATGGTCTCCTCAGGTGCATTAGGAAGAGCATTGCCAGCAGGTTGGGGGAAGTGATCCTGCCCCTCTAGTGAGCCCAGGTGAGTGCTGTGTTCAGTTCTGGGCTCCTGAGTACAAGAGTGACATGGAGTTCCTGGAGTAGTCCATTGGAAGGTGATAAAGGAGATTAAGGGACTGGAGCATCTGTCTTACAGGGACAGTCTGCTGGAGCTGGGTCTGTTCAGCCTCAAGAAGAGATGACTGAGAAGGGACTTCATCAATGTCCCTAAGCACCTCAAGGGAGGGTGCCAAGAGGATGGAGCCAGGCTCTTGATGGTGCCAAGGAATAGGACACAAGTAAATGGGAAGAAGTTGATACACAGGAAGTTCCCCCTGAATATGAGGAGCAAGTTCTTTACTGTGCTGGTGACCAAACACTGGAAAAAATTGTGCTCTCAACACAACCAGAAAGGGTGTTGAGTCTCCTTCACTGCAGATACTCAAAAACCATCTGGACACAGTCCTGTGCCATGTGTTCTAGGACAGCCCTGCTTGAGCAGAGAGGTTGGACCAGATGACCCGTTGTGGTCCCTTCAAATGCCACCCATTCTGTGATTCTGTGTGATTCTCTGTTTCTGGCAATTTCAAAAGCTTGCTATGCAGATTAAATAATGCTTTGACAATGACAATTTTTAGGAAGGACTTCGAGATCTAACTGGGGGTTATTGTCTTGTACTTGGTTTGATTGTGAAACTGTACATTTTGCCATAGAGAACACCGGCTCATACTGCAATGATTTTGAATTCTAGACACATGAGGATGTGACGGGTATCAGAAGAAATCATATCTCCCTACTGCAAGGTATAGAATGGAGATTTGGGGAGTTGAATAGGGGTTTAGTGTGGTGCAACTTTCTTTTGCTATTTGCAGATTCTGTTTTACAAAAATCTAGAACTTTACATGAGATTTAGAATCTAGCTGGCTGCCTGTCAAGCTGAAATGATTTAGAAAACACTTAGTTTTATTAAATTAAAATTTAAATTCTTTTGTCTCTCTAAAATCTATTCCCCAAAATAAAAATACCTACGCTGGACTTAGGGATCTAAAATACATTCTTTACTAGTAGAGACTATTTAAATATTGACTGCAGTTTATGGTGATAAGCTCCACTAAAGGGGAGCAGGAGTGTGAGCAGCTGCCTTATCTTGCCTTCTGAGGCCATCACTGTTAAATCTATTCTCTCTGTAGTCATCTTGGATTATCTCTTTACCCTAAAGTATTTTTCAGTGTATCGAAACTTTAAACCACTAACTACATTTTATTTAACAGAAGCCTATATTTAGGTTTGAGGGTGTAATTGCAAATGTATGTTTTTCACACTGAATTAAGTATGAGAGAACACAGGGTATTTGGACAAACATAAACTTTAGGTGGCATTTTTATCTTTAGGGAGTTATTTTATTTATTTATATATATATGTACACGTGTATATGTACAAATGTATGCATGTGTATATATTACAGTTACTGTAAAATTTGTGTACAAGGCTGAATATTTTTTGAATGTAATTTTGGACTCTTCTTCAAGCTTTTAGTGTTTGTGTTCATGGTTATTTCTAAAACATCTGCACTGGGTTGCTCCATTGACCATGAAAATAATGTTCAACCTTTGTTTTTTGTCTGGATAAAGAGATCTTTCATTTTTAGCTATAGCTATTTCTCACTTAACTCTACTTTTTCCTCCAGGAATCTTGTATATCCATAGTTCCTGGGGTGACACATTTCCAATGACAACAGATTTTGTCCCCACACTAACTTTGTCCACTCAGAATTCAGATCAAAAGCAGAATTATATGTTTTTTTTTTCTTTTTAATCTATTGTGATGTATGAAGATTAATTAAACACTCCATACAAGTTCTAATCTTAACCAGAAAGTCATTAAATAATACCTTTTATTTTGAAACCTGGATGTTACAAAGTGTGAAAAGGAGTTAAAAAATTTTATTTGTGAAACTTCTCTAGAAAAATGCAGATCTTGTTGCCTGTCACCTTTCCTAATTCAGTGTTTAAGGGATGGATGTTTGTCCTTACCAGAAGAGCATTGCAAAGTGTTGTATAGTTGTTCTGTCTACATACTAAATGTTTAATTTTCAGATGTTTGCTGTTTATGAAAACATTTGTGTGAGTAGATGTGTTGAGATGTCTTTTCTTTGTTAGTAATTGAGGCCAGTACGTAGTTTCTCACTTACTTCAATATGCTTTTCACTATTCAATTAAACTTGTTTTGAGTACTTTTTTTATTGAGCAAGATTTTGTTTTTGAAGTGGCCCCACACACTTAACTGGTTTTAATTCTACAGTTCATTCCAATGAGATAATGGTATATGCCTAGTTAGAGCTCTTTGGAACATTTTTGGGTGGATCCAGTATATTTTATTTGCTAGTCCTCTTATATTTGAATGCACTGTTCTTTGCTGTAAACTTAAGAGTGCAAATATGAAAGGAAATACCATGAGTTCTCTTTGGTATCTCAAAGTTGGCTGTTTTCAGATTTCAAATAAAATTGGTTAAACTGGTAGGTTTTTTTTTCCTCTCTTTTGAGTAGTGACACCGATTTGACCATAAGAAAAGTGTTGAGTTTTTTGTTGCAAAATGTATGTTTTGAAGCTACATTGATAAAGTCAGTGAATTGACTGTAGTATTCTGATATTCCCTCTGACACCGAGTATAGAAGTTGAGCTCCTCCACCGAAGGAAGAGCTTTGCACAATGTGGATCTCATGTCTCCAGAAAAAGATCGGGCAATTGAGATAGTTTGTAGTATAATGAGAAAATCTCTGTAGTAAGTGGATATTGTTTTGCTTGGTATGATTTACCAATTGGAGTAACAAAGTGCTTTAACTACAGTTTTCAGTCATCATAATCCTCACATAATATACATTAGGAGTAATTTATGAATTATGCATATAACAGCATCAGTCCAAGTGGATGAGCTGAGGTAGATTACCTCAATGAAAAATTATTTTTAATTGTGTGCTTTAATTCACAAAGTCAATGTTTAGACTGTCATGCCTACTGAACAGACTGTATAAAGAGAAGATTTTTCCATGCAAATTATGAAGAGGAATCTAGGAGATTGAGGAATTTTTACATTGCAGTATATGTTGATATAATGTAGTTCTAATACTGTCCTCTCAGGTAAGAATTAAACAGAAATGTTGTTTTAAGACTAAAATTAAATTAGGAATCTTGTCTGTGAAAAATATCTTGTAACTGCTCCAAGGGATTTTCTCTTAGAGATATCAGAAAAGAAAGCACTTAAATAGCTTCGAATGTACTTCCTTTTTGAGGAGGACAAGTGCTTAAATCTGATTATTGAGGGCTCTGCCATTAGAACTAATTAGGAACTAATAGAAACTATCAATCAAATATGTTGCTCCTTCCCTATTGACTTTTACCCTCTGTGATGGTGGTTAGTGGTTCCAGTGACCTCCTCAATTGGAAGATTTTGTGGTTGTTTTTGGAAGAACATGGTGACTATAGCAAAGAGAGGTAAGACAGCATCCTTCTGTCTACAGCTGTTTATTTTAAGTTAATTATACAGCTGAACAAAACCGTATTTAGGTAGTTCAGTAAAACTTCTCAGTATTTTGGACTTCATTGGTGCTAACTCTTGGCAAACAGATTGTACGTACTTGCTAAGGCCTTGCCATCTTTTGTAAACTATGTTTGTTTCAAAGGTAGCTCTGTTTAGATATGGAATAAAATAACAGAAATGAGGGGGGAATAATTAATGTGTCAAAACCATAGTGTCACAATTTTAGTATTGTTTGGGGTATTCAAGGTATCCATATAGCAGAGCGGAGATAACACAGGTGAGATGGGCCCTGTTGGACAGCAATTTTAGGTCTGTAGAGATACTGTAGAGTCTCTGAAAAAACATCTGAGTCCAACCTCAGCTGACACAGTGAATTAAAAAGGAAATTTTATCCAAAAGGAATGAAACATAGCAGGGATACAAGTCTGTCTAGAATTAAGATCAAACACATCCTCAACCCACAGAGGATAAATCCAACTTTACTCTTAGAAATGTGCAGGAATAAATAGAATACAATAGCATTCGTTGGTTGTACAGTCTGGAGATCTTGTTAACAAAGCTGAGGAGCAATAATAGTTTATGTTGTACTTGTCCTTGATTGAATTACTAGTTGTTCTGTTTCTCTCTTAGGTTATGGTCAGACTGGTCCAGTGGTTCAGAGAGGTGGATATGACTCCATTGCTGCTGCTGTTTCTGGTCTCATGCATATCACAGGGCATGAGGTATAGTGCAAAACTTACAAATTTCATAGAATCTTTGTGCTGTGTACCAAAACTGGCTGCTGCGTGGAACAAGTCAACCTAATGGTAACACATCTGTTATGCAAACCCTCCTGAGTCCAGCAAGAGATCTCATCTCTGGGAGTCTAAGAAAATAATAGTACTTCTATACTTCAGCTGTGTCACTTAAGGCTTGTAAAGAAAAATGCTCAAGAAACAGAAAATTAAAGAAAAAAAGGAAAAATCCTAAATCTCCAGCGAATAAATTGGCAATGTATGCTAACCTGTTAATGGCCCCTTGAGCTGTAGTAGACACATTGTTGACAGCTGGATGATATAGCCGTGTCTATGAGTCTGAAATCTCACTGATGCTTGGCTATTGATATCACCTTTGTAAAAGCAGGAATTGTGAAGCTACCTAGATATATCTGACAAAATCTGGGTGTTTTTCAATCATTCTGCCTACAAATAGGCAGAAAGATGCCATGCTTCTGGAAAAGCTTTATGTGCTGCCTATTCCCACTGACACCCAAGATCTTTCTTAGCTGTGGCGTTGCAGGAAGCATAACAGTAGCTTAGTATCTGAATTCTAGAGGTACACAGAACATGTGTCTTCACCTTGGAAAAATGCTGGTCAAATAAGCATTTAATTAAGCTGTCTTGAATCACGTAGAGATGCAGGGAATGTGGTCCCGAAATGTCCCTTTTCAAGTGAGGTAGTGTTACAAGTCTGTTCTATGCATTATAAATGCTAGATACTGTTCTGTGGGGGTGCTCCTGGTACTCTGGAAGCAGTAGAGCAGATCTTGTGAGTACGATACTTGCATGTTCTAGATAAACAAGGAATTCATAAAGTTCCTGTACTAAGTGTCAGCTGCTCATGTTTGAGTATGTTGTTGAAAGCTAACCACATGATCTGGACACAGCTCTATTGTAGGGTTGATACTCTGCCAATAGACTTGTTTTCTACTGAGAACAATGCCAAACATCAGAAGTTTGTACTTCTGGCAACTATTGTTACCAGAGTTGTCCTTTTTATTAGGGAAAAAAGCCAAAATCGACCATTTTTTGACTGAGTGAGCTGAAACATCTTGTGCCTAGTTTCCTGAAGCTGTCCGTTTCTGCTGTGTTATTGGTATGTACTCCTAGGACATCCCATCTCAGAGCATGAGAAGACATGAAATTGTGTGCAGTCCTTACAGGCGCTTCCCTTCAAATATGTAATGTACACGTGCACTAAGCAATGACTGATCACAGTAACTGTAGCGTAAGTAAATTTAACATTGTGTCTGTAGAATGGAGGTTAATACTTCCAGTACAATGCCAGAAACTTCATGCACACCTCAAAATATACCAATCAAAATTGAAAGGGTATACAAACTGTTAGAAAGGGGCAGATGTTGTTAGTACAACATGAATAAAGAAAGATAGGTAGAAAGATTGAAAAACACAGGACTTTTGTACAGCTTTTCAATGATATGTGAATACCAGAATAAATAACTGTTATACTGAATAATTGCATGCAAATTATATTATGAAAATAATAGTCCTCAGTGGCTGTTATGAAGATGGATTTTATTAAAATATTGTGTTAAGGTCTACACTGGAACATCAGATGTTCACATCACCTCACCAAGACTTGAGGTAATGTAATCATAGGAATCATTTAGTCACTGTCAGTAACAGCTTTGTCTGTTCACTGGGGGCTTCTAAGAATTCATTCAAACTTAGTCACTCTTTCACATGATTAAAATAAGCATGCAAAAATCTACTCATTTTTCTTTATTTGCAGTTGTTTATGTAGTATTTCCTCAGTTTCTCAAACCCATTTTTTGATGTATAGATGGACAGTATTGTTTCAAAGACTTAAGTAGTCAATGACTCCAAAAAAACAAATGTACTTTTTATTGTTGTAGTGAAAACTTATCCAAGTGGCTGTAAAATCATATTGTATGCTTGTTAGAAAGTTACTTTAAAATAATGAAGAATTATTAATAGTAAAATCTTCCATTTTTTTAAACATTTATGTTCATGTGACAGAATTGTGTTTAAAATTTCACAAAACTAAGTCTGAACAAAAGTAGAAAACCTTGTTTCAGTCAAGATGTAGAAAAGTGGCCAAAGAAAAAGCAGAAAAAAGAAAACAGAATTTCATGCTGTTTTTTTTTTTAAATAAAGTTTAAATTATTTGTTGACTAGATAACGTGGAATTAATGTGCTAAAATTAATAAGTTCATTTGAATGGGTAGACTAGGGTCTGATTTTTTTTTTTAGAATAAAATAAAAAATGCCACTCTTATAAACTGGAAATGAAAAAGAAAAAAGGAAAAGTTATAACAGATGATGTTGGTTTAGTATTTAGTTGCAGTAGCTATAGATAATCAGTATAACATCGTCAGTGCAACAGTGGTCTTTGGAAACATCCCTTTGCTAAACAAACAGAAGAATGTTCTTGCAGGATGGTCTTAGAGGCATCAGCTGATGCAGCAGACAAATTGAATAAATCTCAGCAGGCAGTAAAAAAGCATCTACATACATGACTGAGGTGTTGAATGTTGAGGTATACATATTTACATCGATGTGTACATATTTACAGTTCCTTAGAAAGCATTTTAATAATAGGGTACTAAAATTTTGTACTGTATCTGACATATACAAAAATGTGTAATCCAATAGCAGTATATATTCCTGCCTATTAAAAAAAAAAAAAGCTTGTTTTTTTTTTGTTTCTCTTATTTTTTTCCTAGCATCACTTAATGGTAATTACTTTGAAATGCTTCTGAGTGATATTCTGAACCTTGAAATTAAGCTATAACTTCTACAATATTGCAAAAATATTGGCCCAAACAACTTCATTTGTGCTAGTGTTGTTTTTGCTGATAGTACAAACCCAAGCACAGTGGAATAGAGTCCTTAAATCATGGTTTTGTGGACAGAAACCTGCAAGCTTACACATGTACTTGATTACTTGTGTATTAGAAGTGTATCACACCTGTGAAATTTGAAATTCTAATTGAAATTTCTATGACTCATCAAAGCAATAATTTTAAATTAATTAAATGAAGTTTGATTTGGTTACAAATCCCCTTCCACCTCCTAGTGGATTATTACACATCGTCTTCAATACTTGAACTACCTTTATGGTGGTGTATTCTTCCTTGAGGAAAATGACTATGAGACAGTATTTAATCTGCAATCCAGAAGGTCATTCTTCAGTTTAGTACCAAGCAAAGGGTTACAAAAGAATACACATGGTATATGTAGCTGAGAGCTGTTGAAAAATACAGCTATTGCTGGTTCATATTAGCTTCAGCAATTATTTCACATCTGTAAAACTACTGGACTTCGAATGATTTTCTTAAGCATGTAATTTCAAAACAGTTGTCATTTTAAATAGATGATTTTTGTATTACTGATGTAAGTTTGGTTAGAGAAATTATGTCAAAGGGCAAAAAAAAACCACCTCAGGAAAGGAGGCTTCTAAAACATGTTGTGGCTATATCTGGGTGAGAACATGTTGACAAACTGTAAGGAATTTAGCAAACAGCAAAAATGAGGAATAAAAGTGTAAACTATAAGATTGAGCAATAGCAAAGCACAATGATTTAAAAATAAAAGGTCTTCTTAACTGGTATGAATCTTTATATTTTCAAATGAGGAATGGGCAACTCCTGATGCTGCACCTAATTTAGAGTCCAAGCCAGCCCTTGAGGCTGGATGGCAGCTTTGTTTGCTTAAGACGCATTCTCCCTGGCTAGTGCTACATTTGCTCTTCCTACCAGAACAATAAAATCATTTTTGTCTGGCAGGGGTGGTGGTGTTTGTCACTTTTGAACTTGCTTGAATAAAAGATACTGTATAGGTCCTTGCTTTGCCCAGGTAAATGGTATAATGTTAGCTACACAAAAATACTGCTGTGCTGGCAGAAGCTCTGTCTAAAGGAAGGTTATTTCTCTGTGTGTTTAGTTTAACCTTCATGTAAAGCAGCTTCACATCCCTTGTTCTGCAGGATAGTGATAAAGCCTGAATTAATCCATTCCACAGTGCTTACACCTGTGTATCCTGCCACAGAAAGACTGGTTTATGGCACAGGAGCTAATTGAAGCTGATTAAATGGTGAGACATGGCAGCTCATCATGAGTCTTGGTAGAAAGACCAAGGATGGCTAGAAATTGTGTGGACTGTTTCAGAATTATAGGTTGTGGAGTATTAGGATAAAACAAAGCCAACATGTTAAAAATAATGTAGCAGTATAGTACTAGTAGTTTGTAGGAGTGTTTTCTAAGGGGAAATTGTGAAAGTATTTTTAGAAACAAAAGGTGAACTTTTTACTGAGGCAGAGGTAGAAGTATTTGCTTTTAAACATTAGACAGTTTAGTACTTGATGAGGAAGGTTCTGGAAGTTCATCTATAACACCCTATTAAAACAATCCAAATTTCTTAATCTTCAAAATGTATTGTTCTCCTTAAAGGGTGAAATTAATGACACTCTGAAAACAGTGTTTTTAAACTAAGAATGTTGCAGCACATTGCTTGTAAAATCTGAAGTCTTTTTGGCTTCTTCTCAACACAGTGGATGTAGTGAAGTGTCTATAATAAAGAAAGAGCAATTTAACAAACTGATTACTTGCCGCAGATAATATGAGGTTTTTTTTTTTTTTTTGTTTTGGTTGGGTGTTTTTGTATGTGTGTGTGGTTTTTTTTTTTTTTTCTTTGTTTTGTTTTTTTCTTTTATTTCTCTGTGGTAGCTCTGAGGAGCAAAAACCTTCTCATGGACTAATTAGTTGTCTCGGTAGGCCTGTGCATGTAAAAGTGAAGAACAAACTTTCCTGTTTTTCCCCAGAGTTGGGTACAATGAGAGTGGTAAATAGCTGGAACCTTTCAGTTGTGTTTTCTTTTGGGAAGCTGAAGTAGCTTAGTGTAGCATCTGGTGAAGGAAGAAATAAGAGATTCTTCAAAAAAGTACTACTTCCTAAAGCAGTGTTCACCGTAATATTGTGTAGTTTATATATCATCCTATGGATATCTAGGCTATAGATAGTCACAGACTAATCCTTACTGCAGTTTGGATGAGAGTAACTAATTTTTTTTTAAAATTTGCTATATTTTATACAGATTTTGTAATTTTTAGTCAATTTCATGACATGAATAAAATAGCAGCCTTTTCCATCTTATGTAGAAAATATTGTCCTACTGTCTTTTATTTCAGAATTGCTCTATTAATGCAATTGATAATAAAATAAAAATTTAAAAGAAAAATATAATAACATATATGACTTTGTATCAGGCTTGTGTATATCTTGCTGGAGTGCAAAAGAAAAATGATAGTGAAGATTTTCTTACATGAATCCAAGACACTCTTTTTAAAATAATTATCAGGAAACAATTCCTGTATTCTTATTTAGAAGGTTATTATTACAATAATTACACATAGCAGTTTAGACATGGCTAATTAAAATAATTCTGTAAATTCAATTTTATTTACTTTGTGCTACATTAGTTTAAATACATTTATGATAACTTGACAAACAGTTATTATTTATCAATTGTAATGATTTTAAATTGTCTTATGGTAGGCTTACTTGTGTTGCAGAATTCTGGAAGAGTCTCATTAGCTTTGCACTGCTACTTTTCTTCACAGTTTGAAAACTTAAAAAATAAAACAAAACCCAAACAAACAAAAAGTGAGGCTTCAAAATAAGGAACTGCTGTGATAATCTGATCATCTGACCTCAAACTTTTCAGAGTAGGAAATGGAGAATATTTCAGAAGAAGCACTACAATAAAAGCCTATCTGGGCTGAAATTAGAAGTTCATTTTGCCATTGGTTTCAGAGGGGACATATATCATGCCAATGATTACAGAAGTTCTGAAACACATGATGTAACATGAAGATTCTTCCCTTGATGCTAGAAAAGGGATGACATACAGAAAAAGGATATTTGAATGAACATCTTTTCAGTGACTTCAGTCAGAGTGTCCTGAATTTGCATATATTTGCATGTGTAATATTTACATGTGTAAACAAAAATTGGTGGTTTTTTTCTTACTAGAAGCCTGGAATGTGTGTAGTGGAAAATACAAAACTGAGCTTTGACTTGGGGAAGGACTGAAGAGAAGAGAAAAAAAGGGAGTGAGAAGAATGAAGCAATATGGTTCTGCCTTTTAAACAGACAGGCACCTGTGTCAGTGCACTGTAGAAATTGTTTAGGCCTTTAGCTTCTAGGCATAATAATATTCAGTCTTCACTAGCTTCTCTTGTCTCTAACATTATCTCTTTTCTTTTTGCATTGGTGAGTTGAAGCGTTATGTTATTAGGGACAAAAAGTTGCATAATAAATCCTTCATGATTTCAGTATCACAAAGTGGCATCACAAAGTGGCAGTTTTGTGTACATGCTGCAAGAATACCTGGTTTTCAGTGGTAGTTTTTATACATCAGGTCATTCAAAGATACTAATTTCTTGCGCTAGCTGTGACTGAGTGCAGCCATCCAACCAATTCCTTATCTACCAAGTGCCTGGTTTAGAGACAAGCATGTCATGTGGGATGGTGTCAAATGCTTTGCACAAAACCAAGTAGGTGACATCAGTCACTCTTCCCAGACCTACTACTGCTGTAAGTAACCCCCTCATAGAAGGCCACTAAATTTTTCGGGCACAATTTGCTCATCGTGAAGCCGTGTTGGCTGTCACAAATCACCTGGTTCTTTTCCATGTTCCTTAGACTAGTGTCCAGGAGAATCTGCTCCATAAGCCTGCTGGATAGCAAGAGGAGGCTGGTGGGCCCATAGTCTCCTGGGTCTTCTTTTTTACCCTTTTAAAATGTGGGGGTTATGTCTCTCTTTTTCCAGTCAGTGGGAACTTTGTAGGACTACCATGACTTCTCAAATATGATGGATAGTGTCTTAGCCATTCTCACTGCCAAATCCCTTGGGTCCTGCAGATGTATGTCATCAAGTCTAATGGGTTTATGCACCTTCAGGTTCCCTAGATGGTCTTGAACCTGATCTTTTCCTACAGCATGTGGTTCTATGTTGTTGGCTCTCCAACAAATATTGAGGTGGTTGAAGCCCCCCATGAGGACCAGGGCTTGTGAATGTGAGGCCACTGCTATCTGTCTGTCGAGGGCCCCATCCACTCTGTCCCCATAGCTGGGTGTGTGTAGCAGGATTATAATGTTACCTGCAATTGCCTCCCTGTGCTCTCAGTCAGCTCTTCATCCATCCCCAGTGAAATTCTATATGCTCCAGCTGGTCATTGACATAGATAAAAACACTGCCTCCTTGTGTTCTTTGCCTGTCTTTCCTAAAAGAGCCTATATCCCTCCGTTCCAACACTCCAGTCACAGGAGTCATCCCACCATGTCCCTGTCATGCCAATAAGATCCCAGCCCTGCACAATCATATTGTCTCTGCTTATTTTTTCTGCTTTTAATTTTTTCTTTGTTTATTGTTTTGTTTGTTTGCCTTGTTTCATTTTGGGGTGTTTTTTTTTTGTTTAGGATGGTGAGCCAGTTAGACCAGGAGTAGCAATGACAGACCTTGCTACTGGGTTGTATACGTATGGAGCAGTTATGGCTGGTTTACTTCAGAGGCATAAGACAGGAAAAGGACTACATATTGACTGCAATCTCCTGTCAACTCAGGTAGGAGTTGTAAAAAAATTGCTTTTTGTTTTATAGATGTTTGAACCTAAGAATACCATTTGAATATAAAGTGCATTAGTTAGTATAACTAATGACAACAATAATAATGGCATTGGTGATCATTTTCTTAACCTGCCACTCTGCTAGTGACCATTTTATATGACATGGTTATTGTTACTACTGCACTAAGTTTGGTTTTCACTTGCTGCAAAGGACTGCCATGTTCTGTGAAAACACAGGTTAATAAAGGTTTGTAATATCACTGAGATTGTAACAGTTGTAGTGAGTAATTGGAGACAGAGAAGTCTAAGTGGTGAAACCAGTGTTGAAAGGAAGGCTTTAGCAATGGGTCACGTAACTTCTAGAGCAACTGAATAATTTGTGCAAAATCACCCAGAGTATTAAAGTATCACCCAAGTTTCAAAGTAATGTAATCCAGGAGGTCTGCCTTTTGGCTCTGGGAGTTAAAAGAATGAAGGTTGAAGATGCAGCATTTTTCCTAGGCATTAAAGGCAAAGCTGTTTTGTTCATGCAAGATACAGCATGTACTACATATAATGAGAAATTTAACTTTCTTCTTTGAAAATTTGAACACCACTAGTGCAATGATTTATCATTTCTAAAAAGCAAGTGGCATTGATATGAGCTGCATATGATCAGATGATTTGTTGTCTTGCTGATGATATGTAGGTACTTGCTGGTAGCAACTGGGAACATGATACAGAGGAATTTTTGTTTTCGATTTAAAATGTATGTCAAAATTGTATACAGTCCTAATTACAGCAACTACAGTGCTCCATTGTTTTAATCTTTATTCAACTATATTTTTCTTCACATTATACCTGTCAATACAGCTGAGAAATGACAGTGCCCATTGTGCTAAAAGTTGGCCCAGGTATGAGCAAGAGGTTGGACACCTATATCATTGCATGGTAACAATGATTGAGACTAATGATTGAGTTTGCTCTTGTTTTAGTGCCTACTGCTTTTGTCTGAATAACTGTTGAAATCAGAAAGGAGGGGAAATCCTTGCTTGAATCAATAAAGAACTCCTTTATTTCAGAACAAATGTTTGTAAGAACTGAACTTAATTATACTTAAATATATTTGCAAATGTTGTCTCCGTATTGGAAAAATGCTTAGAAAAAAAACAGTTCAGAAAATTTTTAGAATGTGTATTGAATTCTTATTAAATATTTTGTATGTATGTGGAAGTAGGGGGGGTTTCATGTTTAAGGTATTGTAGTGTTATATATTATGGCAGCTGCTCCTTGATCTTTTTAATTTCTAATTTTATAAAAATACTGTTGATAATTTTTATTGATTTCAGGAGTCATTCTGGGAGGGGTGTATGCACGTAATTCCTTGTTCCACTGGTTCTTGGCCTTTTTTTTTTAAATGAAGTCTTTTTGATTATTATTCCATATTTTATCAAATCTTGAAACCAAGAACAGTTGAAGTTAGATTTTTCTGTAGCTCTCTTATTTTGTTATCTTATTTGTCTTTATAATCTTTTTCCTTGATTAGGGTAGATTTGTCTATGCACGGAAGTGTTCTTATATTGCAAAATTTCCATCTGAACTTCCACATCATCATCCTTTAGGCCACTCACTAGCATACACAAGGAAGAGATTGAAGACCTGGATATATGTTGGTGAACAAAGCATGTCGCATGGTGTTTGTCTTCTACATGATTAGTTGAAGCAATGCTAAATAGTCAAGGAAAAGCTTATTTGTTTTTTTTAGGTTTTTTTTAAACAGTAACCCCTTTCCTGCTCATTATCAAATTATAGTTATCTAAAAGTTATTAAGAAGTAATTCCATAAATTCACACTCTCATTGAAAAAGAAATGTTTTTATTTACTTCAGTGTTGGGTAAATGAAATTCAAATAATTTGGTATATTGGAACAGAATATGGATAAAAGATGTTATTCAGAAAACAGCTCTTTTGTTTTAGATGACCCTGTTGCTTCAGTCCAAATTAATTTTGGGGTGTTGGCCCAAGACTGTAATGAGAACATCTATTAAATTGGAAGAAGTATTTATGGATGAGGTTCTAAAGTAAAAAAAATAAAAACATGTGATTAATCCCATTAAAAAGATGTGTTAAAATGAATGAAAAGAAACATAAGTGGCAGCTGAGTCTCTCTCAGAACATCTAGTTTCTTGGTTAGTTTTCTTTCTTTGTATAAGACTGGTGCTTACTTATAAGTCTTTAGGGGGAATGTCTCTACTAAGAAAGTGTAGTACAAATCTGCAAATGTAAACAGATAAAATACTCTCACAATACTTCTGATGGTAATGAGTTCTTTTAAATTAAGTTAGACAATTACTGTGATGTGATCAGGGTCTTTAAAGACACGTTTCCAAAAAGGTTTTGGTTTTACCTCCCAACTAGGTATTGAAAGCTAGCTTTTCCTCATGTGATGAATGTTTAAAAAGAAAGACTTTTTGAAGTTTGTCATGGATGATGCCAAAAAAATAAGGAACCTAAAGTTTTAGACATTCAGTTTATTAGGTTCTTGTTGGCATTGATTAATGGTAGGATCTAGTGGTCAAACAGAGACATCTTGATCACTTTTCCTTCAGCAAGAGTTTTGCTGAAGTGTGGTAATTTTTAATGAGGAAAAAAGGAATCTACTATGTGTACTGAACCATCCTATTTATAGTGTTTTGACAGCAGGGTCTTATATGAAACTTCTTGGTTTTGCCAGCATTTCATGCACTGAGCTAATATAACAGTGTGGTTGGATCTTTTGTTCATCCCTTCATCTGAACTGAAAATTGTGAGCCCAGGGGTTAAGTCACTCAGGTAATTAGAAAATCTTGAAAATGGTTTGGTTTGTTTTATACAGAAAACTCCGCATCTAAATGTCCATCTGTGTCTGTGCTATCACTTTTCTGCATGCCTTGCATAAACGCAAGAGGTTTTTTGGTTGTTTTTTTTTTTTTTTTGGTGGAGGGGAGAGCTGGAAAATGCTTTTGTTACGACTTTCCTACACAGACATGCAAATAACAAAGAGCATTGAACTGAATTCAGCTGCCAATAAAACTGATCTGAAACTTTTTAAAGAACTGTCCCACTGACTGGCAAGCTAGTTTCTTATTTGTTATCTGTGTAGAACCAAATTATAAGTGAGACCCTGTTCTGTCAAAAATTAGTATTTTTATAATATCTTAAAATATGTTTCTTTCTTTCAAATTCTGTGTGTTAAACACTTATTACTACCAAACAAGATTTCTTTCCTCACAACAAAATAGGATTCTAACATTTTTTTGGAACAAGAGATATGGTAACTCTTAGGATGTGGTTTTGTAGTGAGCAGAAACTTTCTATATCTCTCATCTATAAACTTTTAACCTGTGTCATACAATTCCTTTGAAATTTTGACTTTTAGATGATTCACAGTTGTAAGCTCCAGATCTTTCAGCATCTAAATAGTGTCCTTTAGATGATACTGGTAAATAAGAAGGAAGTGGGGTTTGGATTTGGTTCCAATTATGCAATTGTGCCTTTTCTTCTGTTGTGGCTTAAAAAAATCTCTTGGACTTTTAATATCCTTCCTGTATTTAATTACGACCAGGCTCCAACAAATACTGTAATAAGTTGGTTTCATTTGGATTAAAAATCTGCAAGAAATATTTTACATATAACATTTCTGCAGTTCTGAATATATTTTTTACCAGATTCCACAGAGAGAAAAATATGGTTAATATTGTTTGTATAATATGATTGTTCATCAGACACTTCTCTGCTTCTAATTACTATGTTTTAGTTTGTATTTGCCATAGCAAATATCTTCTTAAAATGTTGAAGTGACTCTAGAAAAACCTAGAAAATTGGTATAAATTATTTTCTTTATTTCATTTTTGTTCTTAATTAAACAGCTAATTTACTGAGGGAATGATGAGGGTTAGAAGCTATTAGTTTTTGTTTCTGCCTCACATTTTCCCATGATGATTCTGTTTAAGGCGTATCTGTTTAAGGTACTTTCAGTGCTATCTATTCAGGGCTTTCATGGCATGTCTTTTAGCAATTATTGAGTGTAGGTGGAACTGATAACAGTTGCATACTGTGTATGGAACATACAAGGCATCATAGAATCCCTGATAAATAATTTGTATGGAAATATCAGTCTTGGAACTTAAATACTGCTCAGGTGTCTTCACTGTATCTTGTTGCTTCTCTGCTTGCTGAGAGTCATGAGTTGAATGAATACCAAAATACCAAAAGAAAAATCATCTTTTTTAAAGGTTATTGCTTCTGGTGATTTTGGAGGCCAGCTATGAGGACTGTTACACAGTTGTCTTGTTTTTGGGTATGGTTTGAATAAGTCCATTTTTTACAAGCTAATAAAGCATCATCTTTGCAAAACATAGTATTCTTAATCTCCATCATAATAAAAAATTGAGCATGTGCTGTATGGAGATTTTTTTTTTTTTTTCACTGTATAGCTCTCATATGGAAAAATAACAAAATCTGAATTAATGTGAACATTTCTTTAAACATATACTGCACTTTACACATTTCTTGGCTTGTATTTTTGACAATTTCCATTGAGGACAGCTGTATAACTAAGAACAGAATTTATCCCTCTGGGTTTTAAGCAGCCAGAATTTGACTGAATAGACCAGAATACCATACACACATGACAGTAACTCAATTTCATATTGGCCTCTGTGGAATTTGTGTTTTGATTTCTAATGATTAGTTATGCAGTCATTGGTAGAACATCCTCCAACTGGATCTTGGTTTTATTTAGAGGCTTTCTTTACTCTGTAAAGAGAATAAATATTCAAATTGCTAGGGAATTTCTTCTTTAAATGCTGCCTAACTGTAAATTGTCTGTCTTTTTGTCTTTGCTACCATTGTTCTTGTGCTAAAGAAACCAAGTCTGAATGAGTTGCAGCTTCATTTTCCTATATTGATCTGCCTCTGTCATTAATTAGAGAAAGACTAGAAAGGAGATAGGAAAAATATGCCCCTTTTTTACTTAAA